TTTTTACAGTAGGAACACTTGGAGCTGCTTTGTTCACGGCTGCTTGCACGCCCCAGGGAAAAGTAGGTTTGGTTGAGTGCTTGATGATTGTAATACTTCGTAGAGGCCTGACACCAGTCCCCTCTGGGGAGGGTATAGCTGTACTGGTGGAGGCAAAAATAGAGAAATGGACAGAGGGCTGAGAACTTCCATCCTGCAGAACTGCAATTTGACACTGCCTTGCTGGTGAGATCTCCACTTAGTGTTTGCAGCAGATGGTTTCCAGGTGCTGTTCTAATAGCTCTGAATTTTTCGCCCAAGGGGGCTTAGCTGGCAAACCGAGTTAGTTATGTGTTTACACTGCCCACCTTGCAGAAGTGGTTAAGTACTGCAGGTTGGATGCCTGGTTGCTTTTATATTTGAAAAAAAATTGTTCCATTTGGCTAGGGTGGACATCTCCTGAAGGATCAGAGTTCTGTAGTTGACAGAAGTCTGTTAAATATACCTGGAACTAATTTTAAACTGAAGTGACTGCAGTTAGGTCCCGAGAGTTGTGAAGAAGGAGGCTTGTTGGTACAATTGTGTTGCTGTGTTATTTCTACAGCTGTTGGGCTACAGCTAACCACGTACACAAAAAAACCCACAAAAGGAGTGTGGTCATGTTTACAAGTTGGTTACAAATTAAGTTCACTGGCTGGAAGTTGAGAGATACCTTCAGGAAGATGACTGGAAAGAGCTGGTTATTGAGTGACGCTAGCTCTTGCCTCCAGTGATTATGAGTGGCAGCAAGAGGCTTGTGTCTGGAGCAGTTGTCTGGGGAGGTTATGGACTGCACTGACTTTTTGGTAAATGAAGATGACAGTGAAACCTGACAAAGATAACCTGATGTCTAGAGCAGAAGAGAGTAAAACATAATTTTTAAAGTTAAATAGTTATGTTGGAAGAACTCCCAAGGATAGGCAGAACACCAAGAGAGTAATAGTGCATATTTATGTGCTTCAGGTTCCCTTCTTCATAAGAGGGAAAAGATTCCAGATTTCCTGTGAAGTTATCCTAAGATAAAGTCTGATTTGAGAATTGCAAATCATGCACTTTCACTTAGTCTGGGGTCAGTGGTGTTCTCCTAAGTGCCGAAAAAAATGCATTGACTTAGGTAGTTTAAATTGCCACAGTATCTTAGGTAACAAGTATTTCCTTATTACTGTTTGGATTAATTTATTCTATGTGTTCAGCCAGTTGCTTTACTGTGAATTGTACCAGCTTTTATGTTGTTATTATGGTAGTCTCTAAGCTGAGTAACTTTGGACTGTTTGGTCTTTGTCAGCTTTCCCCTTTAAATTCATCATTTTGAGCTCCAAGGTGGCATTAAACATAAACCTTTGTATAGTGGCTTTCTATGGGATAGCTGTTAATGGAAAAATTTGGGTGTTACAAAGCATATAGTTTTGATGGCTTATTAATGAAACAAAGAACTTTTTTCCAATGACATAATTGGGGTAGCTTTTTCTCTTGGATTCTTCTTTGTGTTGAGCCTAGCCTGTCTCTTCAAGGGCAGACTACAAGGCTTGGAGAAAACCCTTGCTCTGGAGCTTATACTGGCAACCCTTCTCAAAACTTGGAGGAGCTCCAAATACAGGACCTGTGCCACTGAGTTATTGAGTTCTGCATGACTGTTCTTCTGTGGGAAGAGGTTGTACTTAACATCCCCATCCAAAGCTGTTTGTATCTTGTACCATTGACTCAAGAAGTCCAGGAACAGAAGTTTTTTGCTTCTGTTTTTCAGAAAAAAACAGGAAAAAAAAGAAAAGAAAAAAGAAAGCTTTGTGTTTTTCAAAACTTACGTGGGGAGCATCTGCCCAGATAATTGCAGACTTGATGGGATGCAGCAGCCATATGCTTCATTGTCTGGCAGGTTAGTTTTTTTTGTCAACTTGGGTCTTGTTTTTCTCAGGTGGTGTTTTTTCCACTTCCTCCTTTTGGGAAGAAGGGAGTCAACACACTTCCTAACATGTGTAAGGATAGTTGGTTTTGTTTTTTTTTTTTAGAAAAGTGCTACTTAAACACCTGTTAGCTGGTAGATGCAAGCCACATTGAGCTTTTCCTCTTGGCTTCCATTTACTGTTTTCCCCAGGATTCAAAGATGTTTCTGGCTCTTCTTCCCTGTATGCATTTGATAGTGGTGCCATAATGTATAGTGGATGTTCTTCAGATTACAGTCCTCAAGGTTATGACACAAATTTGTCCTTCTGTAGTGTACCACAATTTTTATCCTATGCCTTCCTTCATGTGTTTAAAAAGTAAGGAAAGTGGAGAGAAATTTATTTATGTTAGTTTGCTTTAAAGATTGTTTCTGTGCTTGTAGGCAGAGACTTACAAACTCTTTAATGAAAACCACTTAGAAGACAGACCTGAAACTTTGAATGCTCATTTCTCACGGCAGTATAGCCAGCTAATGGTTTCTGGACACGTTGGGTCTTGCCTCTGTGTGATGTTAATAAAAAAAGGCTATTCTGTGGTCACTAGCACTCATTCATACCCTTCGGTAATCTGAATTTTCAAGTTTAAGCAAGTTCCACATTTCCATTTTAAAAGCAGTTAGACTTTCTTCACTATCTATCCAGTTTAACAGAAGAGTCCCCTTTTGAACATGTGTGCAGCTTCTGGAGTCCAGAAACAAACTTCTCAGCTAACTTGAAGGGTGTCAGCTAGAATGTGGTAGCATTTTGGTACCAGTTCCCTGTCCCTTCTCCAGTAGCTCTATGCTAATGAGGTGTCCAGTGAAATGCTTCCCTATTATGTGAAAATGTTTCCACTGGGTATTTAGGCATTGCTGTAAGACCGTCTCCCTTAAGTGGAGTGTCTGCAGCAAAGAGCAAGACCAGCCTGTGCTAGAGGGCAGGGCAGGGGCCAGTATTCAAAGCTGCAGACAGGGAGAGCTGGATGAAAGCATCTGCTGTGCTTGTACAATTGTGGAAGTATCTGTTTTGTGCCTGTGCTGTCATGGGAGTGAGTGCCATATCATGAACCATTTTGGTTAAGGATGGGAAAGCTCAGAGAGCTTCTTTCAGATTTGGTGCTAAATCAACCAAGAGAGAATCTGTAGCATCAGTAGAAACTGCAGTAAAAAAGGCAATGCTTCCTTCTAGTTTGGAACTTTGTTTTAGAAGGAAAAAAGGTGTTAAGAGTACTGATTGGAGGGGATGTTGACAGCTTTAGGATTTAAAATCAAATCCCTCCTGAGGTGACTTGAAATGGTGGGAGTTTTGTTTGTCCTTGAGATGGTTTAGATTGGGGTAGGGGACACAAGCAGTAATCTGTCACAGCACTAACTCAAAGTTTGAGGTGCTGTGTGTGCAGTAGCAGCCAAGGTTTCCTTGTTGCTCGGGGGATGAGGTTTTGCTGACAAGGGGGGAGCTTAGTGTATAAACATGAGCAATCCCTTCTGGTTGAAGATAAGATTTGCCTGGCAGTTGGTTGAGGTGAGTCCGTTGGTTTACAGAACCAGTTTGGATGCCCATCAGCCAGCAGGGATTTGAACTGGCTGCCTGGAATGGAGGGACTTGCACTCTGGTGACTCCTGCACAACCCGTGTGGGAAGCTGGGACACATGTGGCAGTACTTGTAGGGTTAGGGAAGCTTAAGCCCTCAGAGCTGAATCTAGGTGCTGTGCTTGGGGGTGGTAAGATGTGGCCAAGGAAGATGGGGATGAGGTCATGAACTGAATAGTCTCCTGTCCAGAGGGTGCTTTTGTTTCTGGGCTGGGGTTCTTGTGTGCATCTTATCTGCTGTCAGGTCCACTTTGCTTTGTTAAGGCCTTCACGAAGGCCTAATTTGCTCAAAAGAAGGTATTTAGATTTGCTGCCCCAGTGCTTCCAATTAGCAAACTCGTGCCTCCAGCTTCCTTCCAGCTGTTTATTGAACCAGGTGTCTGCTGCACAACCTCTTCCCTTAACTCTGAGCTTGACCTGCTTTCCTCATGTTGGTGGAAAAAGTAGGGCAGATTTCTAGCTTTGGGTATTATTAGCCTGGAAACAAAAAGACACCCTGGGTTTTTATCACCCACTTCCTAAAAGAGCTAACCTGTGATGAGGGAGTTCTTCAGGAAGCACTATGGTGGTGCCAGGAGCCCTGGTCTGTGGGAAGGCGGAGGACAGGCCCTTAGTCTGTTCCCTGGATGCCTGGAGGGATTCATTTGGCTGCAGGTGTAGGGACAAAAAAGGTCCCTAATGAAGGGGACAGGAGGGTTCAAGAGGGTCCTAGGGTTCAAGAACATAACCAGAGCCAAAACATACAGTTGTTCAGGTTTTTTGGTTGGTTGGTTGGTTTGTTTGTTTTTTGGTTTTTTTTTTTTTTTTTTGCATAAGCCAAAAGCTTTTGAGGTGATGCTGTGCCTCTAAGTGGCAGCAAAGTCTAGCCTGACCTTCCTTGTGTGTGGCCTTGGTTATCAGAACCGCATTTAGAGTGTGCCAGTGAGTGCTGTTTCCTGGATGTGTATAGTTGGGATGTAAGAGAATTCAGCTTGAGCACCTGGCTTTTGAAAACTGATCATTTTACATTCCTGGAGTCCTGTGTTAGTGCTTTATCTTGCTGACCAGCTGATGACATTGATTGCTGAAGGCCAACAGTCAAAACAGGATCCAGACCTCTTCCTGCTTTCACTTAAAGTAGATAGGTTTTCCTGGTGACCTGCTTAAGGATTTTGTCCCCACCTTTTTGGGTGGATGGTGGCAGTTGCAATAATACTGATTATTAATCAGCTGTTGCTTTAAGCCACAGGTTTACTATCTGTCACTAAAACTTCCAGGGAACTGATGGATAATTGCTGTTGTAAAGAATAAGGTTTTTGTCCTGACCTACCTTGTTTGATTCCTTAAAATAGACCAGTGCTGCTCATATCTGACTTAGACAGCTTCACAGCTGTATGTGAATAACCTATTTTGTGACATGCTTTCAATCTTTTTTTTTTTTTTTCCTCTAGTCTTAATTTAACCTATAATACTGTTCTTTTTCATTTCTTTCAGAATGGACTGCTGAATTGGGATTTATTGCAGACTCAACTGTACGGAGCTGCTCGTTGTTTCATCTATTACTAGTTATTTAAATTGGACTTTTAATATCCTGCCAGCTGCTGTCCACACACACATGGTGCATTGTTGCCATTCTCAGAATTGCATCTTTGAAACCCAGGCCCTCAGTAACCTTCATCGAAGAAAGAGGCGACCTCCTGCGTACATTTGTAGAGGGAGTTTTTGGCCCTGCTGCCCTCTGGCTTTCTGGCTGGTGCTGTATTTCTGAGACACTATGGAGCCCACTATGGAGTACTGCTTGGCACAGGTGCTGCAGAAGGATGTTGGAAAAAGACTTCAGGTTGGCCAGGAATTGATAGATTATTTCTCAGATAAACAGAAGTCAGCTGATCTTGAACACGATCAGACTATGCTGGATAAAATGGTTGATGGACTGGCCACTTCTTGGGTAAATTCCAGCAATTATAAGGTAAGACTTTGTCATGTGGAATGTGATTACTATCAGAAGTTTTGATGTCAAGTGCTACTTGATCTAAATGAAAGCTGTATAGTAGACATTCTATTATACTGTTCTGTAAGCTGAGAATTAGACTGAATCAATGATTGTTGTTCTATATCTTGATAGTTGATAGCTGCTATGATATTGAGGACTCAAGGCAGTAAGAATTCAGTGAATGGTGTTTTAAGCATAAGTGTATTTACACTTGGTGTTCATAGTTTATGATAATCCTGGTTTATTTGTGTACTTTGTTAGCTGGTGGCACGCTTTGATCTTTGATCATCCCGGTAGTTTAGCAGTGTTCATGATTTCCTGCCATACTAAAAGGTTTATCAAATTGAAAAAAAGCATTTTCTGTGGACGACATGGTAGATCCATTGTTCTTAGCTCAAGACAGATAACTTGTGTGTCTGTCTTCTGTTGAATTCAATAATGTTAAGATGAGTTGGTAGAACATGGAACTCCACTGCCTTGTTATCCCTGTCATGTTACTTCATTTCCCTTCAGGTTTAATGAGGAATTCGTACTATAGCCAGGTACTGTGGGAGTGGGGAGGGATTCTCAGCTGTGACTTGGAAAACTCCTGCTCTGGTCTGTTCATGAATTTCTCTGAAAAGCCTAATAGAGTACTGAAGCTATTATATAGGATGTAATAATGTTACTTTTTGATAAGTGCTGGGGAATCTGATTGAAAATTCCTGCAGAGCTGAGCCTAAAGATGTTTAACTGGGGGTTATACTGGAATTCACACCTGTAGAAGTGAAGGAGGGACTGGTTGTATAGGTTGTAAGTGCTCTGCAGCTCAGCATACTCAGTTAAAATTATTTTTAACAGAAATTCTGATTGGGAATCAGAATTGGTTGTGACATTGCAGAGTGTTCTACACAACTGCATTTCTTCTCATTTTTGTCAACAAGCAGCTGTTGTAGAAGCTGTTTGGCATGTAGGAAAAAAAAACCAAAAACAAACACTAAAACACTATCACTAAACCACCAAAGCTAATATGGTCTCAACAGAGAATCTGTTCTGGTGGAACACATGAAGAAATTTTTAGCTTGCTGTTGTGAACAAGTGTACATATAATTTTCTGAGAGTATTACATATTCGTATTGCCCCTTTTCTTGCTAACTGGCTTTTTCTTACAAACTTCCATAATTCTCTGATACTTCATGATACTCTGGGAAGAGTAACCCAAGCACAGTAAAATTGAAATAGTTAAGAAATGTGCTATGTGCATGGATTTCCTGAAGTTACGTGGATGACAGAGCTGTGCAGTACAATCCCAGTATCACACTTAGCTTGCAGAATTTCTATTTAGATAACTTGCTTGTCTTCCCAATCTTTTGTCTGTTAAACTACACACTTAACAATGATATCTGTGGTATTCATTTTCCAGTAACAAACTGGTGGCACTTCTGTACTGCAGTGACTCTGTTCCAGAACTCATGCTGCTGAGCTGGCTGTTCATTAATGCGTGTTCTATAGATAGCATTTGCTGTGATTAATAAGTTCTCGTAAGCATAACAGAGATACGTCTCAGATGTCTGGAGGGTGTTTTCTTAGTGAATGAATATAATGGGAGACGTGAAGCCTTTGAGTGGGGCAAGGTGGTTCTGTAAAGGTCAGTGATGTGGTAGAATCTGCTTCAGGATCCAGCCAAGGCTTAGTGCACCCTCTTACGCCAATCTCTTCCTTTTGTTTGAATGCCTTCATCAGCATTATCATTGCCTTTTTTCCTGACTGTTGGTGGACAGGGGTTCAGAAGCTCAGCTTTGTCTGGTGTTAGAGAGCACAGGGGAGTTGGTGTCATCTGATACAGTTCATGGATTAGTGTATCAACTTCAGGAGTGAAAGGCCAAGCATCACTGCCCTAGGTTAACCATCTGGAGAGCTAAACTACAATGGAAAAAGCTGAAATATTTGTAGTCTGTTTCTCTTCTCACCTCAGTCTGTTAATTTGAAAAAGTATCAGCTTAAAACAAAGACTGAGATCATCTGCATGATTTGAAATTTCCTAGCACTTTAGCGATAAAGTGTGTATTCTCAGAATAAGACTGAGTGTGGATGAAACAAGACCCATTATATTGGGACAGCATCCAGTTGATTCATGGCTCCTGCCTCTCTAGGACTTTTCTAACTAAACACTTGTGCTCATATGTTAGCACTGAGCCAGAGAAGAGAAATCTCTAAGGCAAACCAGTTCAGTTTGGGTTAAAAGGAGCTGGAACTTATAATGAAATTGCACCTTTACAGGAAGGGCTCAAGCTATCTCCGTCATTCACATACAAGTCTGATCTGTGGATGTCATGGCCATCATTGACATTCTTAGGCTTTGCTGGTTTTCTGTTTTTTCATGACACTATTTTGTGAAGTCCTTCACAAGAAGGACTTCACAAGACCACAGCACCATGACTGCAGACAGTGGAATCTTCTTTTTCAAGAGTGTCTTGGTTTGAAAGACAGGTGTCTGCTAAGGAAGGCAGGAGCTTCTCTTGAAATGGAAAATGTAAACTCCCTCTCTCCAAATTACTATAATTTTGAAATTAAGGGACTCTCAGGCAAAGACAGGGGAATAGGAATAATTTCTTTACTAAGAAAATATAATGCAGTAGTACAAAAAACGCTGACAGAGTCAGAATACAGCCTGACACCCTGTTGGTCAGGGTGTTAGCAGCAGTCAGATTAAGTGGTGGCTGCAGTCCTCCTCGAGCGACAGATGTGGTTCTGTTGAAGCAGTGATCCTGTAGATGGGTGTAGTTTTCCTCTGAAGGTCCAGTGGTGGTGTAGATGGGCCTGGTCTTCCTCTGGGAATACAGTGAAAAAAGGCTGCCTGTGGTGTTCTAATTCTCCAATTATATCCAGGTAGGAATGCTTGGCTCCTCCCTCTGGGTGGAGCATCTCACAATGGGATGATGTAATTTTATCAGTCATGCAGTGAGACTCAATGGCTCATTAACAGGAGATATCTCCCTGGGGAGAGGGGGAAGAGATAAAGGACACTACCACACCTGGTTTTAACAGCTGGCCCGTTAACAGAAGATAAACCTCTGAAGTTATGAGGGATGGGTCATGAAAGAGATAAAAGAACACTGTCCCACCTGTTTTTAACAGATGGTAATAGAATACATACTTTTGGTTACATCTTGCATTGCAATTTAAGACAAAAGAGATTCAGGATAAAAAGAGTGGAGGGCAGAGATGCTTTTCTTTGGTTGGTGCTGTCTCAAGTCTGTTAAAAACAGCATGTGTAAAACATAGTGAGGGCTAACATACTTTGATAGCGCTCAGTACTCTAAAACTCCTCTAACAGATCGTCTTGTGACCTGATCACTGGTTCAAGACAGATGCCTTAGGTGCAGAAGGCACCTAAGTTGGATAGTTCGGGGTGCTTTTCAAGTCAGAGAAACATAGAGGTGATAGTATGAAACAAGGCACTGAAGTCCAGTGCAAAGCCATTTGTATGTTTGCGCTTGAACAGCACCCAACAGCCATTGCAGGCTTGAGTTTTCTCAGCAGTACTTACAGGTGTGTAGAAGATATAAGAATGGTGCAGAGTGAAAAGATGAATTCTCTTTGAGAGCTCTTACTCCTCTTTGGAGTGCAGTTGCTTAGAGGAGACAGCCTGTGTTTGTGTGGGCACTAGAGTTGTGGATTACACCAGGGAGGCTGGGCTGGGGAAAGTATTGCTGAATGTTTTAGACCAAAGCAGAATTCAGCCTCTGGTCTGTTTCTTGATGTTGTGCTTTGTTGGTTTGGTCTGTGCTGTTTCAGGATGGTGATTCTGCTTGACTCCTTTTCTTCCCCTACTAAGCATAAAAGAGAGTTATTTTGCTGAGCTTTGAATCTCTGAACAAGAACTGTGGCCTGTGCAGAGCTGTCTGTCTTAAAACATGCGGCAAAACAGCACAGCAGTGTCAGAGGCTTCAGTGTGTCCTCTCAGATTCACAATCGTGTGGGAAGGGGAGAGAGCTGTAATCTTCAGTAATCCCTTGGTGAGCCATCTCAGTTTGAGCTGCTTCTGCAGTATTTAGTAATGCTGATGTGAAGTGTGCAAGATCTCCTGGCTCATCTGTGGCTGATGAGCCTTTCTCAGTACCCAAACCACGATGTAAATTAAGGTGTAATATAAAGTGATATTTCCAGGATCTTAAAGTAGTTTTCAACCAGCGTGCTATTCCAAGAGGTGAACCAAGAGTGTTTGGCAGTGACCTTCTCTTGCCTGCTTCTGCTCAACAGTACTGGGAGATGAGGTCTCGCACCTTTCTTTTCCCTGGGATGTGTTGCCTATGCTGGTGGATTTGAGGTTTCCAGTGGAAATAGCCCTTGTTATTGCATGGTTTTTTTTAGACAAACATCCAAGAGGGAACTCGAAGATTGGTGGTGACAGAGCCTTCCAGCAGGTCAGGGTCCAACATACTGAAGAGAGATTCTATTCAGTGTTTTCATATGTTGCTGAGTGGTAGGAGAGGCCAATTTGAAGTGAAACTGGATGGAGGTTTGCAGTAAGAATTGGATGAATCTGCAATTTTTTCATGCACTCTCACAAGTAGGGATCTTTTGGCACTGCACTGCTTTCAAACAGAGTTTGCTTTCAAAGGAGAGTACCTCACCTTGCATAGAATTTGTCCTGGTACAGTGTGAGGCTGTGCACAGCAGCCTGCAGGACTGGGTTTTGCCTCTGAGAGGTGAGTTAGGAATTGACATAGTTAACAGACCCCCGGGTCTGAGGGCACATCCCCAGCCTCCTGCTGGGCTGGTAGACTCAGTCTGTCAGGGTAGGGCTGAGTCCTAAGTTTTGTTCGTGTTCACGTGTGCAGCACTTCAGATTTGATTTGTTTAGTTCCCAGCTGATTTTGGTACTGAGAGAAACATCATGCTCTCTAAAGTAAAATGTAAGCTGTTAACGAGATTTTTTTTGATACGGTGAAATATTACATGGGTATTTTATTTCCCCTGACAAAATTCCTAAT